AGAGACAAAAGACGAGAGAAAAGAGAGAAAAGAGAGACAAAAGACGAGAGAAAAGAGAGAAAAGAGAGACAAAAGACGAGAGAAAAGAGAGAAAAGAGAGACAAAAGACGAGAGAAAAGAGAGAGAAAAATGAGAGACGAGAGACGAGAGAAACGAGAGAGAAAAGAGAGAAAAGAGAGAGACGAGAGAGAAAAACGAGAGACGAGAGAAACTAGAGAGAAAAGAAAGAGACGAGAGAAACGAGAGAGAAAAGAGAGAGAGAAAAGAGAGAGAGAAACGAGAGAGAAAAAAGAGAGACGAGAGAGAGAGAAAGACGAGAAACGAGAGACGAGAGAGAAAGACGAGAAACAAGAGAAGAGAGAAAAGAGAAACAAGAGAAGAGAGAAAAGAGAGACAAGAGACGAGAGAAAAGAGAGAGAAAAATGAGAGATAAGAGACGAGAGAGAGAGAGAAAGACGAGAGACGAGAGAGAAAGTCGAGAAACAAGAGACGAGAGAAAAGAGACGAGAGAGAGAGAGAGACAAAAGACGAGAGACGAGAGAAACGAGAGATAAAAAACGAGAAAAATAAGAGAGAAAAACGGGAGACGAGAGACGACGAGAGAGAAAAAGATACATAAATAACTAGATAAATAAAAAGAGAGAGAAAGAGGAGAGTAAATTCGGAAAAAAAATTCGTGCAAAAATAATATGTTGCGCACTTTCGTGGCGGAACAGTTCACTTCGAGATGGAAAAAATGGAAAAAGATGAAAAATAACCATTCGGCATCCTTTCGCGCCTGTTCTCTTTTTTCCTCGGTGCTTTTTTCCCGATAATCAAATTCGGAAAAAGAGAGAAAAAGAGAGAGAGGTGAGAAAGTTGCGGGACGCTGAGGCGCGATGGGATCGGCGCGAGTCGGTTATCGGCGCGACTTCCGGTGCCGTCGACACGTTCAATTTCGTTCGATTAATTGGCAGAAACGGTGTTGGTCGGTCCTTCGCCCGGCTAATTGGCACGGCTAATTGCTCCCCTCGATGACGACAGGGGGTCTTCAACCTTACCCCTCCCCCTTCCTCACCTGTCATCGACCAACACAGTGGCGCGATATTCGGATGATTACAATCGCTTACGAACCCTTGATCCTTCCCACCCTCCTGAAGTTTCTGAAATTGTTACGCCAATCATTACGGGTTAAACATCCGTGATTATTATCATTATGATTTCGTGATGGCGGAGGGTTGAACGAACTTTAACGTGAGTTCTCGCGAGTTAAAGAGGTCGCAGAGAGAGAGAGAGAAAACAGAAGCGTTTCCACTTCGTTCGTTATCATTCCTCCGCGCAGTTATCACAGCCGACGTTTTCGTCGATAACTCGACTCGCGGTTCCCGGAGTCTCGCCTATTTCCGGCGATGCACCGCCACCATCATCGAGGCATCCAAGCGTCCGGGCGTTCAAATATTTAAACCGACTCGTTGGCGCCAAGCGAGAGAACAACCGAGGACAAGAGATCTCTCCCCCCCTCTCCCCCTCCCCTCATTTTGTCTCGCCGCTATTTTCAGATTTGGTTTCGCCTCGATCGGAACGGCGATGCGTGAACGGGAATGGAATCCGCGTTTTCGCAAATTCCAGGGGGAAGGAGGGGTTCCTCGCACAGGAGACGCGAATAGAAAATTCTTCCTTCTCTCGAAGCGGGTGACCCACATAGGCCCACATAGCAGCGTTTCCATTGTTCCAATTCTAGTTTTATTTTTCATCAAATTTTCCGAAGCTGCGCGATTCGAGGGGAGACTAAATTTAGACTGACGGTCCTCCTCCGCTCGAGGGGCCGCGTTTCGATTGTGCACACTCGATGAGCCATTTAGTTGGGACGCGGAGAT